AAGCCCAGCGAGCACTTGTCACCCCTTTCACCAAATCCAGACATTTCATGCAAAGATTTGTGCCTGAATTTTTTCAATAGCTTCACTCGTAACAGCCAGCCGTGAAAAGAACCCAAAAGAACATCAGCTGGCAAATGGATAAACACATTGCGGTGCATCCCTGAAGCAGCAGCGCTGCGCTATGCCCAGTCACTCAGCCCGGTCCGACTCTGTGAGACCCCACGGACTGCAGCCCGCCAGGCTCCTCTCTCCACGGGGTTTTTCAGGCAGCAATACTGGAATGGGGTGCCCTTTCCTCCTCCAGGGGCTCTTCCCAACCCAGAGATCAAACCCGAGACTCCTGTGTCTCCTACATTGGCAGGTGGATTCTTTATCACTGAGCCCTCCAGATGCCCCTGAAGACGCAGACAAGTCAGCAAAAATGAGAAACAAGCCACTGATAAACACAATCGGGATGAATCTCAAAGCTTTCCGCTGGGTAAGCAAAGCCAGGCACAAAAGACATCAAATTATAAGGTATAATTTACATGAAACTTAGGGGAAGACAAATCTAATCTACAGGGAGAGAAAACAGATCAATCCCTGGGGTGGGTGTGGATGGGAAAGGAACTCAAAGTAATCTTTAAGAGAGGTGGAATGTTCTAGATCTTGATTGCCATTTTGATTCCACAGGTGTTTACACTTGGCTGTTCCCTTAGAATGTGTGTGTGTTTACTGACAGCATACTGCAGTAAGTTATTTCTTTAAAAACAAAAGCAAATGGGGCATTTTCTGTTTCACTGGGTTCATTCTATTTGATGGTGTACTTAAAATTGCTGTCACTGGTTGCCTCTGGGAGGAAACAGGCAGTCAAGGAAAGGCGTGGGAAAGACATCTAACTTCATACTTTTAGACTTCTGAACTATGAGGCTGTATTAGCCATTTTTAAACACATAAAATTTAAGATAAGAAAAAGAATTTATAAACATGTCCCTCATTGGTAAAGTGAGAGAGACCCAACCCTATGACTACTGGACCATTGCCAGTACCGGACTATTTCAGGTTGTGGAAACCCTGCTTCTTGAGACAGGAACTATATGGTCTGAATTCTACTAAACTCCTCTGAGCTCTGAGTAAATAATAATTGTTTAAAGCATTATTTAGGAGTTTAGTATTTTTCAAAAATACATCAAAGATAAGAACGTGCAGACACAACCACAGTTTTAAAATAGCTGTAACCTGAACATCAGGTAACTACCACCACCAAAGTCAAAAAACAACACGGCCTACACTCCAGAACCTTCCACGTGCCTTCTGTGATCACACCTTCCCCCTTTACTCTTGATCTTACAGATAAGAATGTCTTTTATCTATATATCCCTAAATCAATACTGTTCAGGTTTCAGTTCAGTTCAGTTTGGACATCTTAAAACTTTCAAAAAACTGAATCATTCTGTACATATTAGTAAAGGTGCTTTTCTTCCCCAAATTGCATTTGTAAAATTCATCTATGTTGTTGCCTATAGCTCTAGTTTATTTTTATTGCTCTATAGAAAGAATTTTATGGTAAGAATAAATGAATAAACCACAATTTACCTGCCCACTAAAATATTCCTGGGCACTTATACAAGGCATTTTTGGGTCTCAATTGCCTATAGAGAAAACAGATCCAAACATGAAGTATGACACTCGAGGCAACCACTGCCCCCAGATGGGTCTCCAAAACACCTAGCCAGTCTCATCTCCCCTACTTTTCTCCACCACCTCATGTGGCACTGCATCAGTTGAATATATTAGTGAAAACATTAAGTACAATTCCTTAGGATTGAAGTGTTGTCCACCATGCACTAGGTCTACCCAAATCATTCCTGTCCATCAAAATCTGATTCAAGCATGGTCTCCTTAAGAAGACCCCATAGTCTCATCATCCAGGATGCCACCCGCCCAACCGAAAGCTGCATCAAAATGAATGATTCCTTCTCTGACTCTTCAACCACATTCACGCCATTCAGCCTTGAGTTATACCCACACCGTCATTGCCCGTCTCAGCTTTTGTCCTTTTAATACACAGCACTAAAATCTTGCAAAAAATGGACAGATAATAAAAGTTAGAGCTTTTGAACTCAAACTCAAAATCCTGAGAGTTACTGCTGGTACCAGGTACTAAACAGTCAAAAATATGTATTTAAAAAGTTAATTTTCACAAAAATAACATCAGTGAAATCATCATGACTCCTTCAGACAAATTTGGGTTCTTCGTGCTTCTAACACTGATTTTTTTATTAAAAAAAAAAAAAAACACAGAGCTTTATGTTATGCCCTATACTTAATTATACTTTGCTAACTACATGATCTACTCTCTAGACACAGTACTTCAGTTTATGAAACCACTCTTATGTTTTGTCATTTAAGTTTTATTTGATTTTCACTATTATAAATAAAACATTAGTAAGCATAAAAATACAGAGTTTTAGAGTTCTTGGGACACAGAATGTCAGTGCCACATAATTTAAGACAGCTTGATAAGAGGTACACTATTTAGAGAAAACAAAGTCCTTGAAAGAATATTTCAACCTAGGAGCAAAAATGGGGAAAACTACAACATTTTAATGAAATTAATAAATGGGTCAGAAATTCCAATTAACAAGTACTTCAAATTTAAAAAGCAGGAGAGTCATTTTTCTGTCCATGAAAATATACACATGGGATTGTAAATTCTCCAAAAAGGAGAAATAAAACAGATAATCAGAAAACCTATGGCCATTGTTTGCCTTGCTATCATACTTATTAAAAAATATATGGATGGAAGACATCATTCCCAAATAAAATTAAATATGCCTTTCAATTATTTAATGCAAAAATCATTATTTTCAATAGATGTTATTAAGAATACATCACAGGAAAAAATGTTCGCAACTCATGTTACAGAAATTAGGCTAAAGTTCTTAGTATAAAAAGAGTTCTAACAACTCAATAGGAAAAGCCCAATGACTCAATTAAAAATATGGATAAAAGTTTTCCGTAAACAGATAATGCGTAGAAAAGATAATTATAATCGTTCCTGAACATAATAAAAAATGCTCAAGCTCAGAGAAATACAAAACCATAAAACCATACTGGATAGCCGTTTTTACCTATCAGATTTACCAATCAAAATGTTTGATAAAATGCTGCTGGCAAGGGTATAAAAAGAAATAGGCAGTCACATGCATTGTTGGTAGGAGCATAAATTGGTAACACTCCAAGGAAGTATAATAATACAATGACAGTCATCAAAACTACAAGGGCACACTCTGACCCAACAATTCCACTTCTGGGACTTCCTCCTACAGCAAAACTTGCTTACATGCAAAATAATACATGTTCAGACCCTTAGCTTTAACGCTGTCATAGCAAAAGTTTGGAAACAATCTTATTCTGTCAGTAGGAGCCAGGTTAATCTGTGACATCTATACAGTGGGATTCAGCTGATCACAAGAAAGTGATCGCCAAAGTGCGCTAAAAAGAAAAAATAGCCCAGACAGTAGTCCACAATTTGCAGAGAATATTTTGCATTTGTTGAAATATGCACTATCTGGAAAGATACACAGGAAAAAGGTAACACTGGTTGCTTCTGGTAGGAAAGTGGGTAGCCAGAGAGGCATGGGAAAGACATTTTACAGACTGCTTAACTTCTTGTACCTTAAACTTTTGAACTCTGAGGCTATTAGGTATTTTTTTAAATAAATAAAGTTTAAAATTAAGAATTTGAAAAACATGTTCCTCATTGGTAAAATGAGAGAGATACAGCCCTATGACTATTGTTGCCCAATCCAGCATCATACATATATCTTCCTGATTTTGAGTGCTCACTGTAACTTCATAACAGGTTAGAGAAATATAGAATAAGCTCTAGAAACAATGATAGCTAAGAGACCCAAAGTAAGGTTAATTCACACTCAGAGGCTCTATTAAGAAACAGTCTGTTTCAAAACAAGATCAGTCTGGCACAGATCTGCAGAAAAACATTATGGTTAAACGAGCTAACTGAGGAAATGGCGGGTTGTGTATGTTTTGTTCGTTTATTTATTTCCTAACTTTATTAAGGTTAAGAAATAAATGTCCGGTGACAAGATATGGGTCAGGTCACTGAAGCTCTGCTTATTCTGCAGTGTCTGTCATGCTTGTTATGAGAACACAGGTGGAAACAAAGAAGCTTTTTCTCCACCCCCAACTAGACTGGTAACAGATGATCAGGCAGGGGCTTCCATAAAGGAGCCAGACATTTCCGCGTCTTTAGGGCGAAGGGCGCTTTTGGAAAAGACAAACCTGTTGATCACGGGCTTTTCAGAGAACATTCCTGGGTAGTCTCTTTATTCTTCAGCTAAAAATAAGACTGTTTTCTACACTAGGCACACCTGGGGGGCGGGGTGATGTCCGTAATCCACCTGTCTGCCTCCTGTTTTCTCCTCGGGGAGTAAAGACAGTACACCCAACCCTCCGGGTGGGATGGAGAAACAAATCACTCGGTGTCTCAGGTGGCTGATGGCGATGGCTCAGGCTTGAGTGTGTGCCCAAGCTGGTCCAGATATGCCCTCTCTGGGGGCAAGAACGGACACAGGTTCAAGTGCGTGTGGTTCGGCGGGCTTTGGGCGAGCAGGTCACGACCTGCGAGTTTCAGAAAGCCAAAGGTCAGGTGCGCTCGGCGGGGGGGGCACACCTGCCGGGCCAGGTGCGTGCGGGGTCAGCCCGCCGTCTCGTCCGCGAGGCTGGGCTACCCCCGCGGAGGATGACAGCTGCTTACAGGGGTAGGTGCGTCTGGAGGAAAGTTGGGACTGTGTGTCGACCTGTGCGGGGTAGGGTGGCCGCGAAAGTGGGCCAGGACTGACACCTTCCTCCGCAGGGTCCGCCGTGCACCGCCCCCCACCCCCCCCCCCATATCGGGCACCGGGCGCGCCCTCCGTCCGCTCCCGGGTGCCCCAAGGTCACCTGCCCGCACCCCCCGCCCCGGACCCCCCGCCCCACCCATCCCGAGCTCTCACCAAAACACCAGGTTGGCCCCGACGAAGGCGAGCAGGCTGCGCAGCGGCCTCTTCCAGCTCAGGAGCTCATCGGCGCGGCCGCCCAGCCACAGCGCCGGCTCCCCCAGCAGCCAGGTCACCGCGGCGGCCACCCCGCCCGCGGCCTCCTCCACCTGCCGGCCCGCGCCCGCCGCCGTCCCTTCCTCGGGGGGCGCGGCCCCCTCCGGCTTCTCTGGGGGAGCCCGGGGCGGCGGCGGCGGCGGCGGCTGCGGGGCGGCGGCGGGAGCCGGGGATCCCCGCTCGGCGGGCTCCGGGGGCGCCGGGCTCGCCATCTTCGGCGGCGCGGGCGGGGACGGGCTCGGGCGCGCGCGCGCGCCTGGGTGTCGCGCCGAGAGCGCGGCGGGTCCCCGCGGGGGGCGCGCACCGCGGGGCGCCGGCGGCTGGGTGCCTTGTGACGTCAGCGTCGGCCGCCGCGGGGCGCCTCCGGGGGGAAGTTGGGTGCGGCCGGGTTGGCGCGGGGCGGGGCGGGGCCGGGGCGGCGTCCCCGGGGGAGCAGGGGCCCTCGCGCGGGGCCGCCGGAGCGTGATTTACACCTTCCCCTCCCAGCCGCCGCCCGCCTGCTTATCTAAAAGGGAGTCTGCCGGCCACCGGCGGAAGCAATTGGCCGTCCTCATTTTCTCCAGCCAGGGCCTCAGATCGCCCACCCTGCAGCCTTAGAGGGCATAATGGGGCGCCCCTGAGCCTGGCAGCGCGTTTCAGCCCCCAGTGACCCCCCCATCCCCACCCCACCGAGTGCCCTTGCAGGGGCAGATTGCACCCCCATAGCAGAGATCTTCAGTACTTCAAGAACAACGTGATGATTTTAAAAGGCTGCATTGAAAAAGCAAAGGGCCGGAGTGGGGGGCGGGGAGGGGGCTACATATTGGGTCCATTCAGAAGCATGCGGCCCTCTGGTTTTATAAATCCGGAACCGTCAGGCCACCGCGTTCGGGCAGGGGGCTTCTTCTCTCCGACTCTCGGACAAAGGCATCTGGTTCCAAAATGCACGCTGGTCTATGGAGGGCACAGGTGAACGTGTTGCTGAGAAGCAGGACAGCTTGGGTGTGTTACACAGGTTTGGCCAGAGTCACTGTGGTCACAGCAGGCATCAGGACAGGGGTCAGGTGCTGTGAGGGCGTGACCAGGAGTTCTGAGAACTCTCAGACCTGGCCTCATTGGCCCTGGTGCTTCTGGGTGATTTGGGGAGGGGGGTCGTGGTGGGGCGGGGATGGAAGAAACGTAAATGTTTATGTTCACTTTTCCCTATTTGCATTTTTTAAATGTTCTCTTCCTTCATCCCAGTTGTCACTTTTCTCTAGAGTAAAATGTTCCTTCCCTTTGCAGAGCATTCTTGCAAAGAATGCAACCTTGATGAATCAGAGCATCTTATATCCTCTTGGAGTTTACTACTGGCAACCAACTTCTTTCACAGGATGGATGGAGCTATTAAAGCCTGTTGTTTCCAGGGAGCCTCTGGAGAATGTTCTAGAGTGTTCATCTGGGCATCATTTTATGTGTTTATACCTTGGTGTACACATACGAAGAAATTCACTGATGTACTTGCAAATGTATGCACTTTCCTGTGTGTATGTTATACCTCAAAAGGGTGTATGCCTAATTTACTCAGAGGTTTATTGAGCACCTGTTATGTACCCAACCCCTTGCTCAGCTCTGTGGGTATGGCTTCCACCCGCAGGAAGCTCACAGTCCAAGGAAGGGCCAGTGATAATTGTGATCACTCCTGTGATGGAAATAAGCACTCAGGGCTAAGAGTCCTTACTTCAGTCGTGTGTCCAAAATTAGGGACAAGTGGAGGGGTCAGGTTTCTGGGAGCTTTTTGGAATAGAGGGTGTCTGTCCTGAAATGTAAGCGGGAGGGCAGCAAAGGAATGTTCCTTGGAAGCACTGATGCTGAAGCTGAAGCTCCAATCCTTTGGCCACCTGATGCGAAGAACCGACTTATTGGAAAAGACCCTGATGCTGGGAAAGATTGAAGCAGGAAGAGAAGGGGACGACAGAGGATGAGATGGATGGATGGCATCACCAATGCGATGGACATGAGTTTGAGTAGGCTCTTGGAGTTGGTGATGGACAGGGAAGCCTGGCATGCCGCAGTCCATGGGGTCACAAAGAGTCGGGACACAACTGAGTGACTGAACTGGGCAGTAAAGGCAGGATAGGATGGCGAAGAGGAGGCAATCACGTCTGTCAGGAGATCAGCACAAGTGAAGTTGTGGACTTGCAGGCAGAGGTCATGGTTCCTTATGTGTATCTGCAGCAGGTCACCTCAGCTGATCCACTAGTGGAAGGAAGTTTGGTTTTTGACCTGCCAGCAATGCAGAGTCTCATGTTTCTGGCTTGTCTAATAGATTCATGACATAGATTCATGTCTGATAAATTCATGAATAGATTCATGACAACCCAAAACAGTAGCCAGGGAGGCATGAAAAAGCAATATGGAAACAATTCTGGTGTTTTTACCACAAAAGAAAAAACAGTCTTTCCCTGGGGCTTCCCTGGTGGCTCAGTGGTAAAGAATCCAGCTGCCAATGCAAAAGACACAGGTTTGATCCCTGGGTGGGGAAGATCCCCTGGAGAAGGCAATGGCAACCCACTCCAGTATTCTTGCCTGGAGAATCCCGTGGACAGAGTATCCTGGTGGGGCATGAGGTCACAAAAGAGTCAGATACGACTTAACGGCTAAACAACAACAACAATTTTTCCCTGGGTGTTGTGCCCTCTCTTAGCACTGGTGCAGGAGCTTTTGAAAGATAAGGGATGCTTTATTGTGTCATCTGGCCTTTGTTTAGCAAAGGACTCCACAACTGGAGGGAGGAATTGAGAAACCTGATATCCCCATTTTCCAAACCAGGGTGATGTGCTTCATGTGTGCTTCACATGTGCAGACATGTGAAACATGTCTGCAAGATCCTACACATTCCTCTTCTCCCTGGAATTTAATTACTGTCATCAGGATATGCTGAAGTAATAAAAGCTGTTGACAGCCAAGACACATAAAAGCTCAACTTCAGTTGCTACATGTGGGTTGCAACACTTACCTCCACTTATTGATAAAGCTCCCTCCTCACAGCTCCTGAAATCTTTCCTTCTCTCTTAAAATGCTGCACAAACTGTTTTGCACAAAAAGCTGGAGTAAGTGCTCTCATCTGTCTTTTTCACCTCTGACCTCTAATGATTACCAGCAAATAATGTCACCGGAGTAGATGCTGGCCTAAACACATAACTGGGTGCAACGGGGTGTTTTTGTCTAATTAACTTTGTGGCTCTTTCCCTTCTTGCAAGATGGCGGGTGAAAAGGCTGAGAAGCCAGGTACTAAGGAGAAAAAACCTGAAGCCAAGAAGGCTGATGCTGGCAACAAGGCTAAAAAGGTGAAAATGGTGAAGAAAGTTAAGAAGGGGAAGCCCCACTGCAGCCGAAACCCTGTCCTGGTCAGAGAAATTGGCAGATATTCCCGATCAGCCATGTTCTCCAGAAAGACCCTGTACAAGAGGAAGTATTCAGCAGCTAGATCCAAGGTCGAAAAGAAAAAGAACATTTAGGTTCTTGCTACTGTCACAAAACCAGTTGGTAGCGACAAGAATGTGGTTCCCGAGTGGTCAAACTTCGCAAAATGCCTAGGTATTACCCTACTGAAGATGTGCCTCGGAAACTGTTGAGTCACGGCAAGAAACCCTTCAGTAAGCATGTGAGGAAGCTGCACGCCAGCATCACTCCTGGGACCGTTCTGATCATCCTCACGGGACGCCACAGAGACAAGAGGGTCGTTTTCCTGAAGCAGCTGGGCAGTGGCTTGCTACTTGTGACAGGGCTTCTATCCCTCAATTAAGTTCCTCTGCATAGAACACACCAGAAATTTGTCATTGCCACCTCCACCAAAATCGATACCAGTGGTGTGACAATCCCAGAACATCTCACTGACACTTACTTCAAGAAGAAGAAGCTGCGTAAGCCCAGACACCAGGAGGGTGAGATCTTCGACACTGAGAGAGAAATAGGAGATCACAGAGCAGTGCAAGGCTGATCAGAAAGCTGTGGACTTACAAATTCTGTGAAGAATCAAAGCTGTCTCTCAGGTCCAGGGCTACCTCCGCTCTGTGTTTGCTCTCACAAATGGAATTTATCCTCACAAAGTAGTATTCTGAACTTCTTGCAAAGAACCTAATTAAATAACTTGTCCATTTAAAAAAAAATTATAATTAACTTTGCGATGTGTGAATAATGTATTCAGTGCTAAGACTGCATCAAAATAATACTAATGATGCTTAAAATAAACTTTGTCCCCTCATCTCTACAACATGTCACATTTAAAACTCCTGTGAGTAACCTTATCGTTTAAGATTCTCTTCTGAATTTTGCATCACCATGTACACCAGAGTGATTCACACCATGAAGTAGACAATTTCAAAATATAAATCCAAGGAAAACAAGGTGACTGGGGATATGTCAGAGGGGAGAAAAGAAGAGAGCGAGAGAAAGAAAACAGTTGCAGCCACTGAATCTAAGTGACAGAAAATAACCAGTCAGACAAAGCCAAAATACACATAAGAACTCTTAAATGAGGTCACTCGCCTTTCTCTTCCAAAAGTAGCTAGAAAGCTTGTAATAGGAGAGAAAAGCAATGAATAATTAATTCCTACTCTAGGAGTCCACATCGGTAATCTCAAGCTAAAGCCTTAGGACAAGAGGGAAATGCCCCCATATTTTCTTCCCCTAAAATGTTTCGTGCTAGACTCCTAGGTCTTTAAATGAAGGAGGTGTGTACCCATGTTGTGTTGTATTGGTCTGGCAGATAGATCTTTGTGTGCTGATAATTTTGTTAAGCTTTGTTAATTTTGTGAAGCTCCAATACATCGGTGGGGAAAGATCCAAGGCAAAAGGAGAAAAGGGCGGCAGAGAATGAGACGGTTAGATGAGATGGTTAGATAGCATTACCGATTGAATGAATGTGAATTTGAGCAAACTCCGGGAAATAGTGAAGGACAGGGAAACCTGGTGTGTTGCAGTCCATGGGGTCACAAAAAGAGTCAGACATGACTTAGCGACTGAACAAGAACAAGAGAGCCTAATAGTTCACACTGAGCAGAGAGAAATAGGAACACCACACCACGACAGCAACAACAGAGAGCATGGAAAGGAAGATTGTGCCTCGTTTCCAAGGCCCAAGGCACAAAAGGAATTGGCTTTCTGTTCAGGACTAACTGTTGTGTTGATAAGAACTGGAATATCCAAACCAGCATAACCTAAGTTTGGCAAGCATTCTGTAAGGGGGATG